CAGCACAGAGCCTGGAGGCTGCTTGGGATTCTGTGTCCCTCTCTCTGCCCCTCCCCTGCTTGCTCTCTTTCAAAAATAAAAAATAAACATTAAAAAATTAAAAACAACAAACTTTTTTTTTTTTTTTTTTTGGTGTAAGTATGTCCCAAGCAGTATTTTCTGCCTAAAAAGCAAGTACAGGCTTGGAATCCAACTCATTTTGATGTCTGTACTCTGCTGGGTCTTTGTGGAATATCAGCGAAATTACTTGCTTTGCCTGTCTTCAGGATGCAAAATCATCTCAGTTCTCACTCTTGCAGAGGGAAGGGGACTGAGATGAGCATAAGTAGATATTAAATGGCCAGAGTTTACGGCCATGAAAAGAAATGCTTCGTGAATCTGGTTGGCCTCTGTGACCAATAGCATAAAGCTGGTGGGATAGCATGCCATTTCTGAGTTTCACCTAGGCTGTCATTTTAAGTGCGTGACTTTGCTCTGGGGGAAGAAATGCAGAGAGGTCCACACGGGGAGGCGCTGAAGCCTTCCGTCTACAGTCGCTGCAACAAGCTTGGAAGGTGTTGGAAGGTGATCTAAGGCCCCAGGGTTCTGGGGGTGTCAGCGACTCCACTGACAGCTGACCTCAACTTTATGAAAGACCCTCCGCTAGAACCACCCAACTAAGCCACCGCCAGAGTCCTCCTGATCCTCAGAAACGGTGAGAGGTCAACCGTCTGTGGCTTTGAACTGTTAGAGTTTGGGGGCTGAGTGGGTGGAGCGTGAGACTCTTGATCTCAGGGTTGTTGAGTTTGAGCCCCACGCTGGGTGTAGAGACTGCTTACAAATAAAATCTTTAGGGGCACCTGGGTGACTCAGTCGTTCAAGTGTCCGACTCCGGCTGGTCACGATCTCACGGTCCGTGGATCCCAACCCCACATCGGGCTCCAGGCTGACAGCTCGGAGACTGGAGCTTGCTTCGGATTCTGTGTCTCCCTCTCTCTCGGCCCCTCCCCGACCCGTGCTCAGTCTCTCTCTCTCTCTCTCTCTCTCTCAAAATAAATACATGGATACATAAATAAATAAAAATAAAAAATAAACTGCTAAGGTTTGGAGTAATTTGTTCCCCTGCAAAAGATCAGGAATGTATCAACATACAAGGTAACACAATGTATCTGCTCAGTAGACATGTTTCCCAAATCAATTCTCTGAGGCAGGAATCATGACATTCCCCATTTTCCAGAAAGCTGATCCGAAGCACCTTTGATTGAGTTGCTCTAAACCACCCAGCTGCTAGCCTAGGCGGGTCTGTCTCCACAGCCCTCACCCCTAACAGGCGGATGTCATGAACCTTCCCTGCGCCAGGCGAAGGGCCGAGTCGGCCTGGATTTGTTATTCCGTCTTACTGAATCCTCGCCATTAGAGTGAGGTGGAGGAGATCTTTCCAGAGAATGCCACCTGCCAACACTGGCAGGATGCCTTCAGGCGAACCAGACATCAATGCCACACTTGCCCACGGGGTAGGGAGGACCGATTCTGTTTTTGTTTGGGGTGGGGGGTGGGGGGGCGGCGGCTGTTCGTGTGCTTTTGAAGGAGGCTCTATGCCCCACTGTGGGGCTTGAACTCACCACCCTGAGATCAACCCTGCTGAGCCAGCCAGGCGCTCCTGGATTCTCCCATCTTATCTCCAGTTCCGAGATGGGCAGACGAAAGCTCCGCCCGGATAAGGGCTTTGCCCAAAGCCAGACCTCACCTGGGGAGGGGCGGGCGGCTGGAATGCCCCCTCTCCGCCCCACAGGCTACTCCCTAATCTACTTAAAGAAGGGTGTGATTGGTTGGTGGCTGAGGTTATAGAGGGCTCTCCCCTCGCCTAGCCCAGGAATGGGTGGGGGGTGGGGGGCTCGCTGGGGACCCTGGAAGTTGTCCCCCTGCAGGGAAAATGAAGGGCGGGCCCTCTCTTCTCACCCCCTCACCTCCCTCCCCCCTGGAATGTGCTCCCACCTGGGGCAGAGAAAGGGTCAGGAAAGCCGCTTTCTCTGGGAGGCCCAGCCCTTTGGCTTTTCATCCTAAAAACACCTCCAGCTTTTCCCTCTCTTCCTGGGGGCAGGGGGTGGGGGGTGGGGGGATGAGAGCCTTGTGCCCCCCCCACCCCCCACCCCCCAGTTCTGCCTCTTCGCCGCGCCGCCGCAGCTCTCCTCCCACTGATTAGGCGGCGACTACTAAGGGCTGAGCCCTTTTCTTGACCAAGGCAGACAAAAGAGAGCCTTTGAAAACAGCAAGAGGGATTGGGGTCGGCATTGAGAGGGACTTCCCAAACGGATTCCTTATAGCAGCTTGGCCAAGAGAGGCGGTAGGTAGTACATTCCCTGTTTTTAACGAAGACTTTTATTTTACTTATTTAAAGTTTAGTTATCTATTTTGAGAGAGAGCATGAGCAGGGGAGGGGCGGAGAGAGAGGGAGACAAGAGAATCCCAAGCAGGCTCCGCGAGGGCAGGGCGGAGCCGGGACGCGGGGCTTGAACTCACGCACCCCGAGATCACGACCCGAGCCGAAGTCAAGAGAGTCAGAGGCCTGACCGACGGAGCCACCCAGGCGCCCCTTTATTTATTTATTTATTTTCATCAAAGTCTAGGTCAGATATTGGCCTGGGGTGTATGGCATAGTGACCTGACAATTATAATCCATTAAAAACCGCTCACCGCCGTAAGGGTGGTTAACCTATCTGTCATCATGCCAGAGTATTACGATCTCCTGGACCAAGTATCTTCTTTCTCGAAGATTCCTCCGGCAAAGGACCTATCTTGACCGGAGTGGTACCAGGGCTGGCATGTACAGACACGTTTGGGCCCACGACCGCGCTCGAGAGGTGACTGGGGAGGCAAGGCACAGAGCAGATGGCTCAGCAAAGCTTGCGTCTCTGTCTCCTCTGCAGGAGAGGAAGTATAAATCTGCCACCTGGTGTAAGAGAGATCAGAGAGGGATATCTGCTTTCTGAGTCAGCCGATGAGCTTGAAGCCCGAGTCGACCTCTGAGGCGGAGTCCCTGGCAGGGAGGCTACAACCAGCCCTCTGAGTCACCCTGGCCTGGCTGTGGTGCTGGGCCTGGAATGTCCGCTGTGGCCCTTGGGCTGTGGGGGGGTTGGAGGGTTGGGGGGCTGGGGTGAGTCACCACCTTCCAGTTTTTCTTGCTGGAAAAGCCGGCAACCCCCAAAGCCTCTCTGCTGCTCGGGTTCTCATCCTGGGGCCTCAATCCAGAATCAGGAGGCTCTGGGGAGCAGGACCCTGGGTTCTCTTGCAACAATACTGCCACTATCCCTTCCTGTGCTGATTCCCTGGCTTCTATGAGTCCTTAGGACCCCCCCCCAAAACATACACACACACACCCGCTCTCCACCTGTCTGGGCCATTGGCCTTTGTAGCCGGGCTTCCTCCGCCTTCCCATCCCCTGTGACCTCTCTGACCCCCCACATCCTGGAAAGTTTCCCCAGTGGACTGAGGGTCTGCCACGTCCAGGGTCCCCCTCCCTGTCCCCACGGCTGCACTGTGCTGGAATCTGCACCCTCGGGCACTTATCGTGCGTGGACAGGCTGGTGGGGTTGCAGGGGATTGACTGAACTATTTTGATCAAGTTCAGCAGGCTCTGATCCCCGGAAACGCGGAAGGCCATCTTTTCCATTCTCCAGCCTCCCAATATGCCCTGGGCTGGGGGCTGGGGGTCTCCCTGGGCATCTGGCATCTTCTCTGATCTCCTCCTCTGGCCCTCCCTACATTCCTTCCTCCCCCAGGGCCCAGGGCACATTCTCTCTAGTCTGTCCACTGCCTGAGAGCCAAAGATCAAAGGGAAACAGGTTGGGGGACTGCAGAGAGGTCCCCTCCAAGACGGGGTGACGTGCGGGTTTGAGGCACAACTGGCCTTCGGAGGAGCCTGGCCCCCAAACTAATCCCCAGAGCACCAGGCAGTGACTTAGGGCTGCCAGGACCCATCCCAGAACCCTCAAGTCTTGTTGGGCATTAGACCTAGGGGTCCCAGGGAATGATGTTCACCCTTCCTGGATACCTTGTGCCTCCAGGCAGGGGTGCCCAGGTTTTGACACACACCCTTCCGAGCGAGCCCATCAACTGTTGCTCAACAGGAAACAGGATCACAAGCACCCCCACATCCCCTCTGGAGGCCAGATCTGAAATGATGCCTAATCTCTCCCCATTGAGAGCCGGGAGATGGAATTTGCAGAGCTTGCCGGGAGAGAAGTTCTTCTCGACGGTGAAACATAGGCGGCGGGTGGGCGAGGTTTCTAGGGAGCAGAGACGAGTTGCTCCCCTAGTCCAGTTACCCCCTCGTCCCACACAAGCACTTAACTTCACGCTGGAGCTGCTTCCCGGCTGCACAGTTTACCTGGAAAGGAAAGTGGCCTTTATCAGCCGAGCCTGAAGCTAATAGGCAGGGCACGGGTTTGGTTGTTTGGGGTTCAAAGTACCACGGCGAGCGGAGAAGGAAGAGTCTAGGAAGGAGGCCTTGGGGGTCTGCCCCAAATGCAGTGTCTGCCCTGCCCCTTCGAGCCTGAGCCCTGAAGACAGAGCCATGTGCTTAGTGCTTGGAGAGAGTCAGAGGCAGCTCCTTCAGGATGACCCTTAGCCTCACTCCGGAAGCTTCTGTGGGATGGGGAACAGGTAGCCTTTGGTTCATACTCCTGATCTCAGAGAGCCCCCCCCTCCCAAGTCTGATCAGGGAGACAAAGCCATGCCCTGGTGAGCCCTCCAGCCTGACAGGGACAGCATACCCTCAGATCCCCCAGTCTGATGGCAGAGACAGAACCACAGACTTCTCTTGTATAGGGCATTCTCTTGTGTAGGGCATTTGAGGAGAGAGGCTTGGATCTCATAACTTTTTTTTTTTTTTAGGATTTATTTTATATTTTAGAGAGAGAGTATGTGAGCAGGGGGAGAGGGGCAGGGTGGGGAGGGAGAGGGAGAGAGAGAATCCCAAGCAGGCTCCACGCTGTCAGCATAGAGCCTGGGAGGGGCTCCAACTCACGGACCATGAAATCATGACCTGAGTCGAAATCGGGAGTTGGACGCTTAACCAACTGAGCCACCCAGGCGCCCCAATAAATCTTTACAGATAGAATTGTAGCTGCCCGCCTTCCCTCGAGTTCCCAAGGGGTAAATGTGCCTCTATCCCCACCCCACCCCGCTGCCTCTACCCTGCCCCTACGGAGGAAGGCAGCTTGGCTGTAAGTTTGTGGTTCCCAGCTACCCCAGGAACCCCCCATTCTTCGTGTCCCCTCAACGGTCTCACTCTCCAGCCCTTTCCCCCAGCCGGCTGGGATATCCCCCTAGATTTCGCAGCGGGGACATTGCTTCACTGCCAAAGCTGTGGGCCACTATCCGGGGCCGGGGTTCAAAGGACTGTGCCCTGCTCTCTCTGATCCAGGGGCGGCCTGTGGCCTGTGGGAGCGGTCCTACCCCAGGCAATGCCACCCTACCCAAGTGTGCCCTCACCCAGGGCATCCTTTCTGAGAGCACCTGTAAAGGAAGTGGGGCGGGAAGAATACAGGGCCCCGTGCCCAGAAGTGGGGGCGGGGGGAGAAGAAAGGGGACCCTTAAGGTAGCCTGCCGTCTGAGGCAGCCGAGATACCCAAATGTTAATCATCGATTAGCACAGTTCAGGTGGAAAGGGCAGCTTTATTACGCGTAAAATGGACTTAATGTGGCAGGAGCTGCGGACTTAATTTTTTGAGATAAGATGCTTTTAGGCTAATCAGCAGGTGTGCGATGCCTGGATATAAAGGGGCTACCGCCGACTCTCTTGAGAGAGGCTCCAAAGGTCCAGAAGGTGGGAGGAAGCAATCCCTGCCCTGTCCTCGATCTAAGGAAGAGCTGGAAAGGAAGCCAGGTAAGAGAGCAGCTGGGACAGGGAACGGACGGGATACTGGAGGGGCAGTGGATCTTGGCACCCATTAATGCTCAGCACCGTCACCCCGGCACCTCTCTCTTTTCCTCTACGTGAGAAATAAGGCGGCGGTTCTCAGGATTCCTGTAACACCCAGGTGGCCAAAGAAGGAGGGCGCAGCAGGTCTGACCCCATTTCATCCGGGGGGGGGGTGAAAAGCACCCCTTGAAAAGGGGTGAAAAGCAGTAATGAACCTTCCCCCCAAGCCCCGAGAAGCCCAAGCCAGACCTAGAGATGTCCGGGCTCGTCTTCCTGCAGGGGGACCCCGGGTAGAAACAATGAAGCTCGAGAAGGAGAGGATGAGACGGTCCGGTCCTGCTGGTGACTTTCACTCCGGGCAGGAGGCTCTGTGATGGTTTAGGTGACGGCCGATCTGAGAGCCCCTGCCGCTCCCCAAGGCGCGGCTCCAGCCTCCCAGAAAAGCCCTGATCCCCAGAGCTCAGGGTCCCCAGCTTTCAGAACCCGCACAACGCTCTGAGGCGTCAGCGGGACGTGGCCGGCCACACCGGCTGTCCCTGAGCACGCTGCTTCCCTCATCCTGGTCCCCTTTTGTCTCTTCGCTCAGGAAATAACCCTTGGAAGATGGGAGCCACGAAGATCTTCAATCTGCTGCTGGGGTCCCTGCTCCTGGCCGCAGTGCTGGCAGAGAAAGGGGAGGGTCACTCCAGGTAGGGGTGCAGGGGAGGAGGCCGCGGAGGATGGCCGGGTTCTGGCTTTGAGGGGGCGGAGGGGATGAGAAAGGGAGGAATCCCAGGCCAAGAGGGAAGAACTGGAGGGAGAACCTGCCAGCAGTGTGTGTGCGCCGAGTGAGGACAGAATCAGAGGGTATTTATTCCGAGCTCCCACTGCCACAAGAGAGACTGTGGTTAGATCTCTGGAAGGACTTCCTCCTCAGTGGCTCAGTGTCTGAACTAGAGGACGGCGCCTCCCTTCCTAGCGAAAGCCTTCAGCGTTCGCGTATGTTCATTCTTTGGTCAAACTGTAGCGGAGGCCTCCTGGGCGCCACCCACAGGACATAAACGCGCCGAGTGGTCCACAAATGCCTCGCGGAACGTACAGGCCCAAAGTGGGGGACAAAGAACCACCTAGGCGAGTTGCAGGCTGTCCCGAGCACCGCGAGGAAAGGCAGAATGTTCTGAGCCCGTGGAGCATGGGACCTCTGTGCTCCGGAGGACCAGGAGGGACTTGTCTGAGCCTTGTCGGAGGCAAGGACTAGCCGTCTTCCCCACAAATCAGCCACGTCAGATGTGGACGAGGACAGGGGCCGTCACATAGAAGCTGGGAACGTGGGCTCAGACTGCCCGAGGGTAGATCCTAGATCTGCCCCCTGCTCTGTGTGTGCTACATCAATCTCGCTGCACCTTGGTTTCCTCGTTCCCAAAAAGGGATAGAAAGAGAGTCTACCTGGGGCGCCTGGGTGGCTCAGGGGGTTGAATGTCCGACTGCGGCTCAGGCCGTGATCTCATGGTTCGTGCGTTCAAGCCCCGCATCAGGCTCCACACTTGGTGTCTGCTTAGGATTCTCTCTTCCTCTCTCTCTCTCTCTCTCAAAATAAATAAATACACAAAAAAATATGGTGTCTGGGGGCACCTGGGTGGCTCAGTCGGTTGGGCGTCCGACTTCGGCTCAGGTCACGATCTCACGGTCTGTGAGTTCGAGCCCCGCATCGGGCTCTGGGCTGACAGCTCAGAGCCCGGAGCCTGCTTCAGATTCTGTGTCTCCCTCTCTCTCTTCTCCTCCCTCACTCACGCTCTGTCTCTCAAAAAAATGAATAAGCGTTAAAAAAAAAAGTTTTTAAAAATATGGTGTCTACCTTGTAGGGGTGTTATCAGGATCACATGAGTTTACGCAGTAAAGGGCTTATAGAGGATCTGGAACAGAGTAAGTGCCGTTATGTGAGGGCTCACTACTGTTGGTATGGATCAAGAACGAAGACTTGAATGGGGTTGGGCCAGGCAAGAGGAGTAAAGGAGGGACCTGAGATCAGTCCCCTGAGTTCAGGGGGACCCCTGATCCCTCTCTGCCCAGAAGCGAGAGCCACACCCACTAAGGACGCAGTGGGCCCTTGGGCTGAGGACAGAGTCCCAGGGGCTTGATGCTTAGACAACAGGGCGTCTCCATAAAAACTGACTCCCAAGAAAGGGGGGAGGGTTGTTTTCAAACATCAGCCTCCTGTCAGTGACGATCGATCGTTTGTCCCCGCATCGTGAGTCCCCTCGCCCCCTGCCCCTCCCACGGTGTCCTGCTTTCTCTTTCGTCTCCCCTCCCTGCCCCCCCAGACTCCACACTAGGGTCAGTGGCCCCCGACCTCGAGGCCCCAGGTATGCCGAGGGGACTTTCATCAGTGACTACAGCATCGCTATGGACAAGATCCGCCAACAAGACTTTGTGAACTGGCTGCTGGCCCAGAAGGGGAAGAAGAATGAGTAAGTCAATGCACCTGCCCTCTCTTGGCCCCAGGCTGGCTGTGCCTTCCTTCGTGTAGACCGGACGTCACATGTGCCACGCGGGCCTGTACTTCAACTCCAGGCTGTGCCTTTCCCTTAGGCACCGATGGGGAGCTGGGCAACATGGTGGCCCTGACCAGGGCTCAGGCGGTAGCCCAGTCTGGCGTGGGACTAAGGCAATTTTCCAGTCTTCTTCTAAGGAGAAGGATCAGGGAAGATGGCGGGCGGGGGGTGGGGGGGGGTTGGGGGGGCTCACAGAGGATCCCCACTGGGCTGGGGACTAAGACAGAGATCGCTGAGCTGCTGACAAAGACGATTTGGTGGTGGTCACTTCGGACTTAGGAAATAGGATACACTGCCCTTGTCCTTCTTCTCTTGGCCAAGTCCCTTCCCCTGCCCTCGCTGTTTGCTCAGCACGGTAGACGCCGAAAAGCTCTTCTCTGGCAGCTGAAGACAGGCAGTGGGACCGTGGAACAAAGACGTCCCCTCTGCGACTTGGGTTAAGGTCCCCAAAGATCGGAGCGCTTGGGGACTGGGGGACATCTGGAGTCTCCCCAGCCCCACCCACCCCCTAATCTTTACCTGACCAGCTGGAAGCACAACATCACCCAGAGGGAGGCTGGGGCCCTGGAGCTGGCCCATCAATCTAACAGGAAGGAGGGGGCGGCGAGGGCGCAGCAGGGGTGAGTCAGCCCACAAGGGAAGGAGTGGGGGCAGGGCCTCATTGTTCCCTCTCCCAGACCCTGGAGCAGGGCAAGGCCCCAGATAAGCATCCCCTTCCACTCTCAGTTCGAAGAGGGGTCTTCTCTGAGTTCCCGGAGGCCAGCCCAAGCTTAAGGGGAGAAGCCTGGGAGAAATCGGGGCTGGGGTCCAAGGAGGGGTTTGGGGGCCAGAGTCCCGACGATTGATGACCTAGTACGCAGAGTCACAGAGGCAAGGAGAGGGGGCAGCGCAAGAGACCTCAGGAATCTGGCTTCCCCGCTTCTCCCCGACAAACTTCAGGAAGGCCGCGTTTGAGGAATGGGGACCCTTCCAAAGCCAGTCCCTTGACATCAGTTGCCCCCTCTCCGAGAAAGCTGAGGAACCTTCGGATCATTCTAGAGAGTGAATGTGCCCTAAATCACCTCTCGGGTTTGGGGAAGGCATTCTGGGTGGGTGGGTGGGACATCTGTATTGAAGACCCCCTATTCCCCTGGCCTGCAGACCAGGGTGGAGCTTTGAAAGCTGAGATGAGAGAGGGAGAGCAGCTGTGTTGACTCCCTCCCCCCACCCCCGCTGCCCCTTGGAGTCCCGGGCCCTCTATTTACTCACTCCGGGTGGGGCCGAGGCTAAAAAAAAAAAAAATGGCCAAGCCCGCCGAAGCCTTTCTTCTTGGCAGCTCCCTACCCAAGAACCCCAGTGATGAAGATCTGCTAAAGGATTTACTGATTCGAGAGCTGCTGGCTTGGATGGCGGATCAGATGGAAATCTGCAGGCTCAGGTGGGGGCGGCGGTCGGCGGCTTTGGGCATCATACACAGCGCTCATAAGCTTGGGCTTTGGGGCCACACATGGATTCAGATCGTCACCCCAGCAAACCCATAAGCCTCTCTGAACCTCCGTGTTTTCACGAAAATCAAGGCTTATTCAGACCACTTCATGGGACTGTTGTCAGGTTTAAGCGAGATAATCCAGGGAGAGAGCCGAGAGCAACCTGTGAGGAACAGGAGTTCAGTGATGTTGGCGGCTATTATCCCTTCTTGAACTTCTGTCTCCACTGCGTCCAGGTGACAGGCTGCGCTCACCTCCCCGCCCACCCCATCCTATTCTCGGCTTTCCCACTGTATCCTTGTCCCATGGCCCCTTCCCAGTGACGGCACTTGTAGAGTTGGAGACAAGTTTCCTCTCTCTGCGGGTCTCAGTGGTCCTTGAATCGACCTCACCGGCTAGGAAGTCCTTTAATCTATTATGTCCCAGAAGCAAGGGATGACTAACACCGTGAAGAGATCCGCCCACCTAAAGGACACTCATTTCAAGATGCAAACACTGAGGCGTGGAAACCGAAATACATCTCAGGCTTCCATGCTGGCAAGCCGGGGACCAAATCTGGGATGGCTTCCTGTAGAGGGCAGGAAGGGAAAGGGGGAGGGGGCCGGGATCAGAACAATGGAGAAGAGTATGAGAAATTCTCCGTAGGAAGGTGGTGGGTGCTTTCTGGACTTACTTTGATGACTTATAATTAAGAAGGTAATTGGGAGGTAGGAGCAGCTGAACCATGGCTGGGCACCAGGATGGATTTGCTTTGCCGACTCTAAGTGGATAATGACCCCCCTCTCCAACCACTACCCCTCCTCTTTCCACTCTCCCCAGGTTTCAGTGACTCAGACCAAACCCAGCTCAGGTCCGGACTCTGCCCTTCATTTGCTCAGGCCTCAGCTGCACCCCAGGGCCCCCGAGAGAAGCCAAACCAATAAAGTTTAAGCTGAAATGAATCCTTGTGCCCATGGTCGAAACTTATTCCGACGTCTACCGAGTGCTACCAGGGAATGGTCTTCTGTGTGTGTGTGCCACCCAATGCAAAGGAGCTATGGCTCCCACCGGCACCCATAATTCGTCTCTTTAGTCTACAAACACTTATTGGAAAGCTAACATTGGCAGGGACTGTGGTCACCACTGGGAATATGGCAGCCAAGGAAATGAGCACAGTCCTTGCCCTTGAGGAATTTGCAGTCCCGTGATGGAGACAGACTTTAATCTTCAACATACATACACACGCGCGCGCGCACACACACACACACACACACACACACACACACACACATTAATAATCACCTAACATCCTAAGCCATGTGAAGAAAGAGTAGGGTGCTATGAGAAAGAATGGAGCAGCCTCATCTAGATAGAGTGGGGGGGGGGGGTCGGAAGGGCCTCTTTGAGAACGTGACGTCCAAGCGGAGTGAACTTGCAAGGATAAAATGGCCAAGGGATGAGGCGAGCCTTAATAGATATCGCCCCAGTGTTATCACAAAGCAAAACAGGCAATGGGAGATTAGCACGAACAGATGCTGGATGGGTAGGCAGAGGCAGGGTCTTAAAGGTCATAGTGAAGCTTTTGGAGTTTATCCTCAGACCAAGGGCAAGGTCCTGAAGGATTCTGAGTAGGGGCAGGTTGGAAGACCTAGAAGCGTTCCCAAACAATCATGAGTGAGGACTATATACTGAGATGAACAGAGATGAAAGCGGGAAGGGCAGACCACCGCAGGATTCCAGGCTTACCCTGGCATGATGGTGGTAGGAGTGAAAGGAAAGGGGCCAACTCCGTTTGTCCAAACGTCAGTACCTTTATCTTCCAGTGTTCAAAGCCCCCCTTCCCCCCCTCCGCCCACCACCTTCCCCCCAGTGCCTGGTGTCCACAGAAAACAGGGCTGTCTACCCACCCCTTTCACTCGGGTTATCTTACCTGGAATGCCCTCTCTCCCCTCGATCTAGTCAGTCCTATTTTAGGAGACAAGAGTCAAACGCACCTCGATTCAAAGATTCAAATCGCTTACTCAGTCCGTGACTTGGCAAGTTAGTTAGTTCCTCACTCTTGGCCTGTTTCCTGTCTGTGAAAAAGAAGATTCCTAACTACCCAACTCCTAGGGTTGAGGTATTAATTCAGATAATGCCTGGCACAAAGTAAATGGTCAATAAAAGTTAACTTTTGTTATCATTTACCCACCTAAACCTCAATTTAGAAATACAAGGGTATTGGTTTTAAATCAGGGAGTGGCCAGCTGGATCGGCTGAAGGGCCGGGCCAGTAGCATAATTGAGAAAAGTGGGGAGGCTGTAAGACAATGGGAAGGATGGGGACTGTGAAAATGGAAGAGACACGCTTTCTGCTGACCAAACAAAACGCTTTTGAGAACTGAATTTGCCTGAGGGCTGCCAGGCACTGTCTTCCAACTCCGATATTGTAGATTTCCTCTCCCCTAAACTCCTTGAGGTCGGAGAGAATGTGTGTCACACAATTCAGAGCATGCCTTTGCTCAGAGGATATAGTTTAGTGATTCTCTATGGTAGAGCTGGTTGTCCTGGGGAGAAGTTGGATCTCTGTCTCTGGAGTCTTGGGTTGTCCGGGGGTCAGCGAATCAGAAAGGGTGATTTAAAATAATCTTGGTACAGTGTTATTATTACGGGCCAGGCATTGTGCTCAGTACCTTACAAACATCACTTAAAGCCTCATGACATCATTTTAAGAGAAGAACGTAATAGCTGTTAACCATGCACTACACTGCCTCCGTGAGGTAGAGAACTGAAGTCCTGTGCTCCGGCTAAGGCCAGTGAGTCACTGAAAGCAAGGGATGACAAATGTGATGGGCTGCACACAGCGTATACTGGGGCTGAGCGCTTCTGGGAGCCGTGGTTAAGTTGTCAGGAATTTTGTGAGCAGGTTGTAGAATCATTGTTAGCTTGAAATTGGCCATGGCCAGGGTGCACCGTGGAAATTGACAAGTGCCATAAATCAGAGCTCCTCCCTCCCAGCCGGGAGAGGGGCTCGTTAAACATTTACCAGCACATTACTGGTCAACATACTTTCTCTAAAATTGTAAGAGAGAACAAACGTGTCCGAATAAGGGAGTGAGGGTGTCCGCGTAAGTGTGGTCACAAGGTTTGTCTCAGGCCAGGTGTTTGCACCTATGGGAGTGAGTATGTGTGTGTGTGCATTTGAGGGTATGGATAGTTCAATTTGAAGACATGGGTGTGAGGGAGGGATCAGCGCATGTATCTTAAGGGGTCATACGGTGTGAGTCAAAGAGTGAGAAATGAAGCAGGTGTGTCTATTTGTGTCAGTGAGTCACGAAGGGACCAAATTTTTGTGTCAGGGAGTGGCATAGGAAGAATATGACGGTATGAGGGGCGCCTGGCTGGCTCAGTCAGTGGAGCGAGCAACTCTTGATCTCTGGGCTGTGAGCTTGAGCCCCACGTTGGGTGTGGAGATTACTAAAAAATAAAACCCGGCTCAGTCGGTCAGGCGTCCGACTTCGGCTCAGGTGTCCGACTTCGGCTCAGGTCAGGATCTCACAGCCCATGAGCTCGAGCCCCGCATCAGGCTCTGTGCTGACAGCTCGGAGCCAGGAGCCTGCTTCAGATTCTGTGTCTCCCTTTCTCTCTGCCCGTTCCCCGCTCCCCGCGCTTGCTCTGTCTCTGTCTCTCTCAAAAATAAAGATCATCCAGAGGCAGGGAGCTCACGGCTGGTGTGACAGTGACAGTTCCGCTGCATGAAATCCTGAGGGACCCAGGCCCATTGGCTCCTGGCTCCATTATCCCTTAAGGACCAAAATGGTGGCGGACGATTGCCCATCCTCTTCTAATCCTTTAACTTGAAACCTCTGGTAACATTACTCACATTCACGATTTTACCTTGCTGCGGATTCTGGATCTGTGTAGCTCTGCCCAGCTCTTTCTGTGGACCTTTCTACCAGCACATCCAGATGACCACTGGCCATCTCTCCTGTGATGTTACAGAGACCTCAATTTCAACATGTTCAAAACCACTCTTAATTACCTCTCCAGCTTCATCCTGTGGTGTCAATCCCTGTCCCCCCACCCCTTCTCTGAATAGCACCACCCTGTTGCCCAAGCCAGGAAACGGGAGCATTTCCCCCCACCCACACTGCCCTCATCTATCGGTTTTACCATTCTGCCTTCCAAATACCCGTCTGTCCCAAATATCCCGTCTGTCCCATTCTCTCTGTCCTCGTGGCCACTCTCTTAGTCCTAGCGGTCACCATTTCTTTTTTGTGAGTTTTATTTATTTAAGTAATCTCGACACCCAGTGTGGGACTCAAATCCACAACTCTGGGATCAAGAGTGGGCATGCTCCTGGGGCTGAGCCAGCCAGGCACCCCCTAGCTCTCATTCCTAGGTTGGATTGCTATGACTGACTTAAGTCTCTCTAGGTTGTCACCGATTTTTCTGTTTTTAAAGTTTATTTATTTTTAGAGAGAAAAAGAGAGAGGGCGCATGTTAGCAGGGGGAGGGGCAGTGAAAGGGGAGAAAGAGGATCCCAAGCAGGCTCCCCACTGCCAGCGCAGAGCCCCATGTGGGGCTTGGTCTTGGGGACCAGGAGATCATGACCTGAGCAGAAATCAAAAGTCGGATGCTTACCCAACTGAGCCACCCAGGAGTCCTGGGCTGTCACTAATTTTTCCAAAAACCAGAATTTGATCTTCTTACTCCCTAAGAATCCTTCACTAGTCCTTTTGTTAGGCTCAATGCTATAGCAATCACTTATGGAGGGGCACCTGGGCAGCTCAGGTCGTTGAGTGCCTGACCTCCAGGTCATGATCTCACCGCTCGTGAGTTCGAGCCCTGCATCGGGCTCTGTGCTGACAGCTCAGAGTCTGGAGCCTGCTTCGGATTCTGTGCCTCCCTCTCTCTCTCTGCCCCTCCCCCACTCATTTTCTATCTCTCTCTCTGCCTCAAAAATAAATAAACATTAAAAAAATAAAAAAAAAAAAACAACTTATGGAGCTTCGTAAACACACAGACGGATTCCACCCCACATCTGGTGAATAACAATCATAGCGGATGTTTACTTATGTGTCAGGCATCGCCCTAAATGCTTGGTTACATATTTTCTCCCTTCATCCTCACAACCACCTCACGAGTAGGTTACTCCAAACCAACCGTGGCCAGTAGACCACGAGAGGTTCAGGACTTTGCCGGAAGCTACTAGATCATAAGCAGCGGTCGTGGGCTCTGGGGCCAGGCTTTCCGATTCCAGAGTCCAAGTTCTTAACTGCAAGACCTGCCCCAGTCAGAACCTCCGCGTTTGACTCCAACGGGGTCGGCTCCATTAGAGCAGAATGGGTTGGGTTCCATGCTCAATGTGGAAGCTTCGGGGAGACTCCGCGCCTGGCCCCGTATCAGGCGACCGGAGGCTGGGTGGCGGCGGAAGGGCAGCCGCGCCAACAAGCGAGGGTCCCAGGCACCCACGTGGGTGGGGGAACGCGCGGCCGACAAGGAGGCCACCGCCACGCGTCCTCGCCGCCTCGTCCTTCCCCGCCGCGGGGCTCCGCCGGGGCTTCTCCCAACCCGGCCACCCGAGGAAGGCGGGGCCGCTCTGCCCCGCGGCAGGAAGTCGGCGCGTAGCTTCCGGCGCGCGGAGATGACGCGCGGCCCGCGCTTCCGCGTCGGGAGCCGGCGGCGGATCCCGGGACGCGGAGACCCGGGGTCCCGGCAGCGGGGCGGCCCGCGGGCCCGGGGCTGGGATGCATCGCCGCGGGGTGGGAGCCGGCGCCATCGCCAAGAAGAAGCTGGCCGAGGTGAGGGGACGAAGACCGACCCACAGCCACCCCCGACCCGACAGGGACTGAAGTCTTGGAGCGGAGAGCTCTGTACCCTCAAGTCGCCCCCCATCGCAGTCTGACAGCAGGCTGCTTGGGTCCCGGGGAACTGAGACTCTTAAGGTTCCGGTGGGTTGGGATGTCAGCATCCCCGGGTCCACCAGCCCTTTCCCGCCGCGTCCCCAAATTTGGCTACAGACCAGTCGTCTATTGTTCTTCCTCATCCTTCTCCCTAAGAAAAACCATTTAAAAGACACCCTCCTTTTTTCATACTTCAGCCGGGGCAGTACAAGTGGGAGCCCCCAGTGCCCACTCTCAACTCACGCCGGTCTCTTTGTCTGACAGGCCAAGTACAAGGAGCGAGGAACTGTCTTGGCTGAGGACCAGCTGGCCCAGGTGAGTCGGTTGGAGGACTCCAGGCAGGAAGGGAGACCCGACCGGGTGGACAGGACGCCTTTGATGTAAACTAGATTGTGTGGATTAACATTTTGAAATCTTTATTTATTTTTGAGAGAGAGCGAGACAGAGTGTGAGCGGGGGAGGAACAGAGAGAGAGAGGGAGACCCAGAATCCGAAGCAGGCTCCAGGCTCTGAGCTGTCAGCACAGAGCCTCCCGCCAGGGGGCTGAACTCAAGAACCCCCGAGGTCGTGACCTGAGCCCAAGTCGGAGGCTTGACCGACTGAGCCACCGGGGTGCCCCTAGGTTGTTCCGATCAAACTAAAACTCGACTCTTTGGCAAATCTTGGTTTCTGGACTGCTCAGACCATTTACCGACTTGCTAATGACAGTGATAGCTGACATCTTTGAATGATTACGTGCTTTTATCCTCCCATGCGCGTGCCCGTTTTTTCTCCACCCTGTCTTGTTCATTCATCCTGACAGTCCTGTCAGGAGAGAGCTCCGTTCTTCCCAGTTTAGAATTGAGGACATTCAGGTGGTTTGTCCAAGGTTACCTGGATAGTAGTTGGTAGAGCCGTTTGACTTAGATCTTTGGAGGCTTTCACTTGACCTGCCGGGGGATGACCTGAAAATATTGCTTACTCTGTGCCATCATCCAGCACCACCGCTGTCCCCTCCAGAAGTGCGTGTCAGTGATGGGGTGCGGGGCCTGCGGTTTCCTTTTCTAACACTTCCCTTTTCTGTCCGTGCCCCAAGTTTACTCAGTTATGACGACTGGGGAAGGAGAGGAGGAAGCAGTTAAGCAAGGACATGGGGGTCCTTGAACCGAGGAAAGAGACACAGGCTGTGCTCTTCAAAAGCTCCCACTCACGGGGCGCCTGGGTGGCGCAGTCGGTTAAGCGGCCGACTTCAGCCAGGTCACGATCTCGCGGTCCGCGAGTTCGAGCCCCGCGTCAGGCTCTGGGCTGATGGCTCAGAGCCTGGAGCCTGTTTCCGATTCTGTGTCTCCCTCTCTCTCTGCCCCTCCCCCGTTCATGCTCTGTCTCTCTCTGTCCCAAAAATAAATAAACATCGAAAAAAAAATTAAAAAAAAAAAAAAAAGTTCCCACTCATAAGGGAGATGACATACGGGGAATCAACTGGAAATGGCGATTATAATGTTTCTAATATGGAGCAAGTGAGGAGTTGTTGGGCCAGGAGCGGTTACTCTCCTTGCAGGTAGAGAGTAGGCTTTGTTAATTACAGAAAGGGAAGGAGTCACAGCCATGAGTCAGAAAGTCCCCAGATCATTAGCACCGGTAGCTTTGGAACGCAGTCTGGTAGGCCCCCACCCCTCCCTTAGGGATTCTTTTTTTTGGAGTTGATTCCAAGAAGGTCCATGACCGAAAGATGAAATAGTCGCTGCGCACCTAATTCATTTTCTCCTATTCAGCCTTTCTGTCCGTGGCTGGAGATTTCCCTCTCTCTGAACGCTGCATTCCCTCGTTTTAAAAAGTTTATTTAGAGAGGGAGAGAGAGCAAGCTTGCGAGTACTCATGAGGGAGAGAGAGGATCCCAAGCAGGTTCCTCGCTGCAGGGCTCCATCTCAGGAACCATGAGATCATGAGCTGAGCTGAAATCAAGAGTCAGATGTTTGACGGACTGAGCCACTCAGGCATTCCCCCCCCCCCCATTTTTAAGACAAAATGGATTATGAGCTGCACCTTCAACGTAATGACAGTTTCTGTGGGAAAAAGAAAAAGAAGGCACTACATTAGATGTGCCACTGACTGTTAGAGGCATCCTGTCTTTAGAACAGGAACACATGGGGGGAAAAATGTGTTTTATTTTTTATTTATGTTTCTTTTTAAAATATCTTGATTTATTTTTAAAAATTTCAATTTTTTTAAAATTTATTTTTGAGAGACAGAGGGTGAGTGGGGGAGGGGCAGAGAGAGACGGAGACACAGAATCTGAAGCAGGTTCCAGGCTCTGAGCTGTCAGTGCAGAGCCCGACATGGGGCTCGAACCCGTGAACCGCGAGATCATGACCTGGGCTGAAGTCGGCCGCTTAACTGACTGAGCCACCCAGGCACCCCTAAAATATTTTTTTTAATGTTTTTTAATTTATTTTTAAGACAGAGAGAGAGAGAGAGAGAGAGAGAGAGAGAGAGAGAGCATGAGTGGGGATGGGGCAGAGAGAGAGGAAGACACAAAATCTGAAGCAGGCTCCAGGCTCCGAGCTGTCAGCACAGAGCCCGACACGGGGCTCGAACTCATGAACGGTGAGATCATGACCTGAGCTGAAGTCGGACGCTCAACCAACTGAGTCACCCGGGCGCCCCTAAAACCTTTTATTGTTAAGTAAACTCCACCCAATGTGGGGCTCAAACTCACAACCCTGAGATCAAGAGTTTTGTGCTCCACTGACAGAGCCAGCCAGGCGTCCCCCAAAATGTGTGTTTTAGAATTGAGGAAAGATTATAGCATCCAAGTCAGCTGACAGCAGAACCATGAAGGAGAGTTAGGGATAAATAGAGAAGGAACAAGGGGCGCCCGGGTGGCTCAGTCGGTTGAGCATCTGACTGCGGCTCAGGTCATGATCGCGGTTCGTGAGTTCGAGCCCTGCATCGGGTTCTGTCCTGACAGCTCAGAGCCTGCTTCAGATACTGTGTTTCCCTCTCTGCCCTTCCCCTCCTCGGCCTCTCTCTCTCTCTCAAAAATGAATAAACATTAAAAAAAAATTTTTTTTTAAAAGAAAGGGGGAATAAGAAACAGCATAATAGTAGGCCTGGAGGAAATGGGTTATTTTAACCCTTGCCCTGCCACTGGGCCAGGAACTTATTTTTGACATCTATCACCTAGCTGGGCTGCCCCTAACCTCCTCCTTGTCCACCCTACAGATGTCAAAGCAGTTGGACATGTTCAAGACCAACCTGGAGGAATTTGCCAGCAAGCATAAGCAGGAGATCCGGAAGAATCCAGAATTCCGGGTGCAGTTCCAGGACATGTGCGCCACCATCGGCGTGGATCCTCTGGCCTGTAAGGAGTTGGCTGTAGGGGTGTGGTATTCTCCTAGGGACAGGAGCGCATCTCCTTGTCATCACCGTTGTCAGGGCATCTTCTAGAAGGGCCTGCAGGGAGAGCCAGAGGATGTAGTCTTTGGTGCGGGCCTGGCAGGGTGGCTGAGGGCCCGCTTTGATGGGAAAGCTGGAGAAGCTGGAGAGTAGGTTGGTAGCCAGTGTGCCTGACCTCCCCTTGAATGATCTACAGTGGGATTTTGTAGTGGGTTTTTTCCCCTATTAAAAAAGAATTTCGGGGGCGCCTGAGTGGCTCAGTCGGTTGAGCGACCGACTTCGGTTCAGGTCATGATCTCATGGTTTGTGGGTTCGAGCCCCGCGTCGGGCTCTGAGCTGACAGCTCAGAGCCTGGAGCCTGCTTCAGATTCTGTGTCTCCTCTCTCTGCCCCTCCCCTACTCGCTCTCGCTCTCTCTCTCTTTCAAAACTAAATAAAACATTAAAAAAAAAAAAAAATTTCATTTTAATGAAAGTAGCGTGTAATTATGCAGTCGGTCAACAAAGGTGAAAAGAGAAAAACAGAAAATAGAAATCTCCTGATCCTGTCCCCTAATTGCAGGGATACATATTAACAGTCTAAGGTTATCTTGCTGGACACATACATTGTATTTATAAACTTTTTTTTTTAACATATTGGATTATGCTATAATTACTAGTCTATAGCCTGCATTTTTCACTCCATAAACTATGGCCTTCAATGGATTTTTGAATGCCTGGTCTGCATATTGTTTTTTTTTTTTTTTTTTAACGTTTATTTATTATTGAGAGACAGAGAGAGACAGAGCATGAGCAGGGGAGGGGCAGAGAGAGGAGGAGACACAGAATCCGAAGCAGGCTCCAGGCTCTGAGCTGTCAGCAGACAGCCCGACGCGGGGCTCGAACCCGCAAACCGTGAGACCGTGACCCGAGCCGAAGTCGGTCGCTCAACCGACTGAGCCACCCAGGCACCCCTGCATATTCTTTTTTCTTAGCCTTGTCCCATTATATTTCCCTGTATGCTCTGGGAAAGGAAAACTCAGTTTCCTAGTATCCTGGAGCCACTTAGCCAAACAGAAATGCCTTTTAGAAGGCCCACCCTTTACAACTGTGTGAGCCTGTTTTTTAGCAGGAATTTCCAAGAGTTCCAACTGTTTGGGGATCCTGAGTAGTAAATGGAGCACAAGGTGTTAGGCTAGGCAGGGCAGGCTTCCTACAGGATAGATGTTTTGATCTAGCTTTGAAAGAAACTATGGACGTAGGCTAACATATGACCTAGACTGTTGCCTTTCTGTCTTTTAGCTGGAAAAGGATTTTGGTCTGAGATGCTGGGCGTGGGAGATTTCTATTATGAGCTGGGTGTTCAGATCATCGAAGTGTGCCTGGCCCTGAAGCACCGGAATGGAGGTGAGTGTGGCGGAGTCTCTTGACTGGGCTTTGGGCTTCCCTGAGAGAGAGAGAGAGAGAGAGAGAGCCCTGAAAGATGAGCTTTTCCAGCTTTCAGTCTGCAGGCCAGTGAGATCTTGAGAAACCGTTTGGTCTTCTGAAGCGTCTCAGCCGCTTCATGCCCTTGAATCTATACCAGGTCTCCATGGCCAGGGGTAAATGGAATGGCCTGGATGATTGTCTCTGTTCTCTAGAGACCTTTGCCCCAGGGAGGTCCAGCCCCTGGTTAGTATAGAGAACAGTAGGGAGGTAGGAGCTAAGGCCTTTTCCCCTGATACACCTGTCTGGGTTATGACTTTATCACGAGGAACTCTAGGTCTGCCCTGCCACTCCCAGGAAAGTAGGGTGATGCCGAGTTTCTGTGCTCCCCAAAACGTGACCTCCAAAATGGGCCTCCAGCGGCGTCCTCCTAATGAGCGCATCGAATGGGCTGTGTTGAAGTCAAGAAAGCAAGCGAGCTTAGACCCAGTTAGAAATCACCGGCCGTAAATAGATAACAGCCTCGACGTTGAGCGAGTGTTTGTAGCTTTTCGGAGATGCTGCTGCCTTTGCTTTTTTTTAATTGGTTTGGTGTAGCGGACTTCATCTGCTTTCCTGTCCCCTCCAACAGGTCTGATAACTCTGGAGGAACTACATCAGCAGGTGTTAAAAGGAAGGGGCAAATTCGCACAGGATGTCAGCCAGTAGGTCGTGCCCTCCAGTCCCTTGGAGCGTAGAAAAGCCTTTCTAGAAATCACATGAAATCTTTTCTCTTTACGGCTCGTATGTCTGGGCTTCTTTAGGAATCATTTTATTCCAGCATGTTTTTTTAGAATGCCAAAAGTGCACAGATATAAAAAACCAAAAACCACCTGTAACTTCTCCACCGAGAGATTACAACTGCCAGCGTTCTGGTGTATTTCCTTCTAAGCATTATTTATTTATTTTTTTCATGTCTACGTATGTATTGTTGCTTTTTTTTTTTTTCTTTAAACTTGGGGCTGTGTAGACCCTGGATTACTTGGGGTTCAGGAAGCTAGCGCGCCCGCACGGAGAAAGGCTGGGGAGAGGGGTGGGGGCCAGAAGATAGGGGAGAGAGATTGATCTGGTTCGCCAGCCTCTCTGTGGGACCTCAGGGTGAGAAAAGGTTTAAAAAAACAAAAAGAAATGCTGTCAGTATGTGGGCTGGGTATACGAACCCACCGTGTTGCGGGTTTTCTTTTTCCCTGGTTTGAGTTAGTGGGGAACTAGGGAAAAGCCACATGGCAGTAACCAGCCGGGTGGCCCTCTAAAATGGAGAAGCGTTTTGCACTTGGCCGTGGTCCACGCCGCTCCCTGCTGTCCCCTGCCTTTAGCTCCTTCGTTCACATTTCCTGACGGGCCCCCGTAGGCGTATTTTTGACCTCTGTCTGGGGTTAGGATGGTCTGCTGAGTGCGCGGGCTGATCGCCGGGCACCGTCGCTCCCTTGACTGGCAGCGGCATCATTTGGTGCCCTTTGACCCCGCCTCTTCGCTAATGTCACTGAAGGTCGCCCGCCCTCTTGGGTCTTCTCTGGGGGCCTCCTGCCAAGGGCCGAGCCGGAAGTGCGTCGTTGCCAGGTCCGCTCGGCCCAAGGTGTTTCAGCAGCGTTTCCTCCCCTCAGAGACGACCTTATCAGGGCCATCAAGAAGCTGAAGGCGCTCGGCACCGGCTTTGGCATCATCCCCGTGGGTGGCACCTACCTCATTCAGTCTGTTCCGGCTGAGCTCAATATGGACCACACGGTGGTGCTGCAGCTGGCGGAGGTACCGCGGGCCTCGCGAGGGGCCAGGGCTCGCGGGGAGGGGAGGGGAGGGGAGGCGTGTGCGTGCACATGTGTGGGCGGGGCGGCCTGGGCGGGGCTTCTGGCGGGGCGGGGTGGGGGGCAGGGGGGCGGGGCGGGGAGGTGGCGGGGGGGCCGCCCCGCGCGTCTTCTGCCCAGACTGTCTAGCGGATGCACCAGTCAGACCTGAGCTTCTTTAGAAGACGTTTATTGAGCAGCTACAGTGCCAAGCACCGGGCCAGGCTGCGGGGCGCAGAACGACGGGTACCACGTGGTTCCTGCTCTGCGGGAGCTTACAGTCTAGCGGAATAGGCGGACATGCAGACAGCGAACTGTATTTTCTTGGGTAGACGGGTTCTTTGAGGTCTTCTTAAAACTGGGTGTCGATTCCGCAGAACAAATGTGTAATCTTGTTTACCGTTCCCCCTGTTCCTCAGCACGTCCCCCCCCCCCCAAATCCTTACCATGGCTTTAGGAAAGAGGGGTTCGGGTTTCTTAAATCTATACCCCCGAACAAAACTCAAGAAGGAGAGGGCTTTTCTCCCTGGGGAATGGTCACCGTCCCTTCCTGTCCGTTCATTGTCCTGAATCAGATCATACTCCAAAGTTCTCTGAGAAAGTCTAATGTTTTAGTACCAGGGACCCCACTTTTTAAGACTCACCCCACTCCCCCCACACACCTCGTCACCCTGAAAGTTGCTTCTCTCTCTCTCTTTGCTGGGACTTCTAAACATTCTTTTTCTGTGCTCTCATAGGCTTCGCCCAAGGGCAGTTCTTTGTCCCGTGTGGGTAAACCCGTTGTTCCTGGGCGGATGCTGGGCTCTTAGGGAAAGTACGCTGTTACCTGACTCCCCATCCCTCCTTCCTTCAGAAAAATGGCTACGTGACCGTCAGCGATATCAAAGCCAGTCTTAAATGGGAGACCGAGCGAGCGCGGCAAGTGCTGGTATGTGAATTTTGGAATGGCCCAGAAAAGATGGGCCCCAGATGGGAGGAGGAGGGCGGACAGGCAGCACACGGGCAGGACCTAGCCTCGCTCCGCTGGCCTCTTGCCTTGAAGGCCCGCAGAAGTGACCCCACGTCTCTGAGGGTGGCCCTGAGAGGTACAACTGAGGCAGGCTCCTGACTGCGGCAGGCGAGCCCCCCCACCCCCCCTCCTGTCTCCGGCCTGTAGAGCCTGGTCAGACCACGTAGTTTGTATCAGAAGTAACGCTGTTAATACAGAGTGAGGGGGTTGTGAACTACTTAATGACACATCCACGATCACATTGTTACATTGCGTGTTGTAGTTACAGTTCTGTAGATACAGATTTCGTGGCGCTAACGAGAGGCCGATGTTACGGAGAAGGAGCGTGAGACTATAAACCCTGGCCTTCAATACCTTCTTCCTCATCCAGGCAGTTAAACTAGATCTCCTTTTTTTTCTGGAAAGCAGGGTAACAGAAACATCTATTTAATGCTGTGGGGCACAACCAGCCCCTCTTGGGCCTCTTTCCAGCTGTAGGAATGGGGAGTCCATTCTAAGCTAACACAGCCCTTTCGTTACCTTCTCCCTAAAGGTTTACCCTCGAGGTAACGGACGCGGAACTAAGCACGGTGGCTCCCATTGTGTAAATACGGGAAGGCACTCGTGTAGATGTAGCCTGAAAACCCCACTGAAGCCAAAACAGGTGTGGGGGGTTGTCAGTCTACCCTACGGGGGCTCCCTTGTCCCAGAGGATTCTTCCTCCCCGTTCCCTCCAGGAACACCTGCTGAAGGAAGGGCTGGCCTGGCTGGACCTACAGGCCCCCGGGGAGGCCCACTACTGGCTGCCCGCTCTTTTCACGGACCTCTACTCCCAGGAGATTACGGCCGAGGAGGCCAGAGAAGCCCTCCCCTGACTCTGGGAGCGCCCGGGGGGTGGGGGCCCGGCAGCTGGCAGGGAGAGGAAGGGAGAGCGGTTGGCGAATAAAACCCGAACAACTTTGCTTTTGTCTCTGTTTTCTTTCAAGAAGAAAGAGTTCCAGGTTTTCTTGCGCCCTCTGTACGCTTCACCCATTGGCTTGTTTTTTCTTAAAGTGCCTTCCCGTAGCATCTTTAGTGGAGAAAACCTCATTTATCCAGTAAGGAGGACCCGAGTTACACAGAACAGCGAGCACGGAGGGCAGGACCTCTACGGGCCGGTCTTCCAAGCTCACGGCAAAGCTGGGTCTAGAACGAAGGCTGTCCGCCTCCTGGCTCGACAGCCTAGTCTCTCTCTAGCCCTGAGGCATAAATCACAGCCCGCTGGCTCAAAGCTGGTCCCTAGAAAGAGGTTTTGATCTCAAACCAGCAGACCCTCACGGACCCGTAAGTCATAGCCACTCGTCCGGTCTCATCCAGCTTCCTTGAGGCCCTGCAGGTTCTGACAGACACGGCTGAGTGTGAAACAGAGGTCAAAGTCAAGTGGTGGTTAGAGGAAACCGTGGAATCTGGGGGAACTGACCGACAGTGGCCCTACACGGTGGTAGTTCTCCCGTTTCCTGGTGGCTTTCGCTCTCCTGTTGCTCACCGGGTCCCTCTAGCCTCAGTGGCGGCAAGGGCATCGTTTACTGAGCACCTACCCCATTTGCGAATCCCCTCTAATCTTCACGACTTTACTTGGGTAAGTAGGTCTCCTTAATGTCTCAGGCGAAGGGTCCAAGTCCTCTACCAGAGGCCACCAGGCGGAAGAAGCAAAGAGAAAAGCCAGAGCCTAGGTCCACTCCCACCAGACCCCCCCACTTTCCCGTATCCTGGCTGCACACGGCACGGGGAGGCATTTCGCGAAGTTTCTCCCCACGCCCGTGGTCAGCCAGGAGGAAAAGCCTCTGCAGCGGAAAGCGGGGGCCTCCCTTTACCCAGTAGGGACGGGGGTGTGGGGCGGAGGCTGCGCGAAGCAGCGTCTCCACGGTCTCCGAACGCTGGGCTCCCGAGGGCTGGTTAAGTGCCAGAAAACAGAAAACCCAGTGGTTTGGATTATGCCGAACGTGGACACCCTGTCCTTACCAGGGGACACTCGGGCCAAGCCCAGGTGCCCAGACTCGAGGCCTGCCCGTCCTTGTGGGACCTGCATCTCTCTGGAAGCGGCTGAGGCCGAGGTGGCACTCCTCTCCTTGGCGGCCCGAGGGGGGGGGGGGGCTCACGAAACTCTCTTCTCCTTCTGGTGGGCGGGAAACTGGTCACCAGCAGCCCTGCATCCATCTACCCAGGTCACGTTGCCGGGAGCTTCCAGCTTCGACAGTTCACGGAGCGCTTTCTTCCTCCCTGACGGTTCCAGACCCAGGGGAGAGGTGTGGTTGTCGAGGAGACCCACGCTCCCCTCACGCAAACCCTCCCACACCCACAGGCGCTTCCTCCTTCTGCCAAAACAAACTTTATTGCACCAAAAAGAAAAAAAAAACAAAAAACAAAAAACTTCATTTATGTACAGTCAGATATAAAGACATCTCTTTGACTCCTGTGCATATATTTCCTCAACTCAAGATTAGGGCGTAAAAGTCGGGCCGGTATGCCAGACATGCTCTGCCCATGGCAGGGCCAAGGAGAGGATTGTCACTTGAAAGTGGGAACACTTAAAATGGATGACAGACGACCACTGGACCAACAGACCAAGGGCATTCTTCTAAGCCCTGCGCTAGCTCTGGGAATGGAAGAGGGAAATGGGAAGCAGGGTCCCTGTTTTGAGTCTCGTTAAGAGACTCCGCCTTCGGTATCCAAGATAAACTTCCGTTCCCCAAGCCCACGTCCTGTCCAGTTTCTCAGCTTCCTGCCCTCCCAAGTAGGACATTCTCCTTTGTGCCCCCCACCCCCGGAACAACCCCAGGGAAGTCCCACCACGACCCCCAGGCAGATGCCTCCACGGCAGGGGCGGGGCAGGTACGCGCCGTCTCCTCTCCCTTCTCCCTTCCACGTGGCTGGATGCTGCCTGAGGCCCTGCGTCACATGGGTCACCGACACCCCACTGGGAGCCTTAACGGGAAGAATCCAGAAAATATGGGGCGAACACACCAAAAAGGGGAAGGCTGGATTCCCTCAACGCCCAGTACCACACGGCACCTAAAGCCCATTTTTCCGAGCCAACCGGCTAAAGAATCACTGTAGCTAGATACAGAGAAGCGACACAGCCATGGGACACCCCTTAGAGCCAGCGGCAGAGCAGCTGGGAGGGAGAGGGAGGGGAGTGGCGAGAAGGGGAGCCCAGAGTCCCAGCCATCCCCTCCCCCCGCCCCCCTGCCATTGGCTACCTTGCTCCCCACAGGTTCCTGGGCATTGAAGTTGAGGCGGGGGGGGGGGGGGGGGTGCGCGGGAGGGGCTGGGGTGAAAATACACAAGGACAGCCAAACGGAAACACAACAGGATGAGCATCAGTCTCCCTGCCGCACCCCGCCCTCAGAAGTGCCCTCATCGTGGCTACCAGCCTTTTTGAAAATCTGTAAGAAACTATTCTATGTAGTGGCTCCAATCCCATATACACAGCAGCTGGCTGTGTGGGGAACTTCTCAAATCAGTGATTGCGGGAACAAAATCAGCCTCTCAGGGTGCCTGTGCGGGCTTTAACCAAGACTCGGTTCGGTCCCGGTGCCAGTCCCCTTCCGTCTTCAATCCGGGAAGGGGCGCGGGAATGCGGGGCAGAGGAGAAAGGTGCTCAGGTGCTAGGTAAAGCTTACTGATCAGCAGCCTAGACTCCACCACTGTTCCTTCTCTTTGGTCTGTCTAGAACAGTGACTATAAATTAGGAAACACAGAATTATGCTGGCCCATGGGAAGTAGTGGGAGAAGAGAGGCGGGGGGAAAAGGGCGCTGGGAAGCCCTGCTTCGAGACTGCAGACAGACAGACAGACAACCACCCAGACTGCGTAAGTGTCACAGACACCCCCCCCCCCCCAAGCTCCCTTCCAGATAACCCCATACGTCGCGTGGGCACACTCCCTCTTGGGATTACAGCCTGTCTCCCACCTATCCCTAAGGAGCCGGCCCTGTGGAGAGGTGTGTCAGTTGCCGTGTTTTTGCCAGAGGCCCTCGCCCCGGGTGCTCCTGCATAGGTACCTGGGCCCCTGCTATGGGATGAACATGGCCCCGGATGCTCGAGAGCCAGGGAGGTCAGATCAGGAACGGCCTCCCCACTCCCACACCCTGGGATCCGAGCTTGCTCGGTTCTTGCCATCTTGCAGGATGACGTCACGTCTGGAGGGAGATACACACTGCCTCTCCGTCCCTGGGGTGGGGGGGAAGGGACTTTGCTGGGACTCTTGAGTGGGGGAAGGGGAGAAGGGAGCAGGGTCTAAACCCTCAGGCTCCCGTGCAGGTCTGTCTCTGTCCCAGACGAACTGCTATCAGAGTCCATTTCGGCGTTCTCATTATGGAGCCTCTCCAGCACTTTCTGACGAATCAGTCCCAGGCGCATCAAGAGGGACTGGTAGTCAAAGTGGCCACGCTTCTCTCCAAAAGGGTCCTGTGGGGGAAAGGAGACAAGCGGGATGGAAGATTCGGAGTCTGGACGGCTCACCCTAGAGACAGCAGCTCCGGGCCCACGCGGGACGCCCGCTCCGCTTCCGAGTCCCGGGAGCGGAGGAGGGCGTCGCACCGACAGGGGCCAACAGCGGACGACATGACACAGGACTAGTTCAGGAACGTTATGGCAGGTGAACCACCCCAGACAGGTCTGGCTGGGGCCAACGTGAAAATGTACTTTTGTTCCCTGAAATCAAGCCACTATGCGGGAGGTCAGAGGAAAGGAGAGGTAGATAAGGAACAGAAGCTGAAGACCAGAACCGTAATCGTGAAGCGTGCCTGGGTTGGTTTTCAATTCACTTCACAAAAACCACACGAGAGAAAAATTACCCTCCTTTCCCACACTCAGCAAAGGGGAACTTGCTTTTCCAACGTCACAGGCAGGTCGAGAACTCAGGAGCTCTGACTTCCAGATTAAGCACCCGTGCACTCTTCCACGGAGACCTGTCACCACCTCCCTGTCCAGGTTCCTGGGCATGACTCCAGGGCCACCCAGCTTAATCCTAGATCAAAGATCTCCAAACACTCTGCAGAGAGGGGTTCACGGTCCCGAGAGTCTCAAGAAGAACTATGGTTGGAGCGGAGAGCAAAAACAAAAGGAATTTAAAATGCCACAGAGAGAACAGGGCGGCCAAGCAGCGGGGCCGGGGTTCAGGCGAGGGGACCGCCTTCCTCGAGAGTCCCGAAAAGCCAGCCGGTTTTCCCCTCACATTCTGCTTCTCGCACATAAACGCCTTCCACACTCTTACCTACACGTCACCCTCAGGGTCAGGGGCCAGGGAACACAGATCCCAGTCCCCGGGGCTCCAGCGTGTTGCCACTTACGAGGGCTACGCTCCGCCGAGGCTGGACGCCACACTCCCTCCGAGGCGGTCAATTTTTCAAACCTTCCCTTTTTCATCCCGGGCTCCACAGCCACCCACTTCCCTCCTCCCCAGACACTGCTCCTCCCTCTCCTTCTCTCATCACGAGTTATTTTTCCTCCACAGGGTGAACGATGGAAATGCTTTTAAATACCAGCACTAAGGGTTCCTGAAACCATGGGAGGAAGCACCTCCCATGTCCTCTAAAAACGGGGTTGGGAAACAAGTTAACCCCGAGCCGCCCCTGCCCTCTGAGGTTGTTTCGTTTTGTTTGTTCAAGTAACCTCTACACCCAACGCTGGGGCTCAAACTTCCAACCCTGAGATCAAGAGTCGCACATCCTACCCACTGAGCCAGCCAGGCGCCCCTGCCCTGTGAGTCTGCACGTGGCAGGTGGGTGGAAAGTCCGTGAAGGAAGGAAAGGGACACCGCCATTTCTAAGCAGCAGCGGAGGAAAGGAGACATTCACCCCTGCGGCTGGTGGTGAGGACCGGGCGGGGGAAATGGCTCAGAAAGAGCTGGGGAGGGGCCTCAAGGACATGTCAGCCACTTACCCAAGTCAGCAGGATTCTAAAGCAAGATGGCCAGTAAAT